TGGGGTAGGATAGCTGAAGATTTCTTCAGTCTTACATTATTATGAAAGCATTTAATTATTAATTTAATTACACTGTTATTGGGTAAAACCTCAATTTTGCTGTCCAGAGAGCACTTACAGCATCATCCAGGTTGTGAGTAAGACTGTTTCACAACCTCAGGGTTCACTCTGTACCTGAGACTCGGTGGGAAATCCATCAAACTCTCCATCAGCCCTCGCTCAGCTGAGCTGCTCTGCCCACAGCAATCAGATTTCTTTGGGAGGACAAGGCAGAGATCAGATCCATGTCATGGTAATCCGAGCGCCTTCCTCAGGCACGAATCTGTAAATCCTCGAGCTCCTTTCCACTTGGCCCCAGCACCTCAGCCCCACACGTGCTCAGTACAGAAGCAGAGAACTCCCTGCTACATCACCCACTTCTTTGCAGCCTTTCAGTGGCTGCATTCTGTTCAGTTGCTCAAATGAGTTGTCAGGAGTTTTGTCACTCCTTTCTGCACTGCTGCTACTGGGTGAGTTACATACAAGATTATTAAACCTCATTAGTTTTCTTATTTCTGCTAAGGCAAATATAAGATGTTCCAGCCATGGTAATGCAAGATGGAAAAATAGCTCTTATCAGCTCATTTTTCTGTGCTCTAGAATACTTCTGGTACCGTAGACACAGAATACTTCTTGGTTTGAAGCTCCTCCCTGCTTTTGTTGGATTCCCCTCCTATAACAGCACAGGTTGGAACAGGCACTGCTTCATCAGAACCTGCCACTCAGGTCCCAGGGAAAACCATGTCAAGATAGAATGTTTTTTCCATCTCATAAAGTTGCTGAAGGAGGCATCTACACATCACGGTTTTTGGTTTGGCTCTGCTCTTTACTGTAAGTAGTGACTATAAAAATGCTACATTTTTACTCAACAAATCTTATTTCCTGTTTAGCCACTGCCACAGCAATCTGCACTCGATTAGCAGAAGCAACAATGTCTAAGCTTGAGCATGGAAATCCAACACAATCAGTTCTACGGAACTACATCTGGTTTCACCAGGAAGGACACCTTACCAAAATCAGTTTTCTCTGCAGCAACTGAAAGACTGCAGTGTTTTTCCCCTTTCTGTGTAGTTATCACACGGTAGATGCTATTTTTTAAACAACAACAAAGATAAATTGTCTCAGGAGCCCCACATACACACTTCAATCCGGGCCTCCTATTAAGTCGAGGCTTCCAAAACACCCAGCAACAAAGGTACCTTATTTAGCTCCTGGGTATAAAAATCCTGCTTCTCACTGCTGAATTAAAACAGAGTTAATTATCTGAACTAAGATACTTAAATTCTTTTAACCACATTAAAGATCAAATAATGGCAAGAGAAATTAGGGAGGCATTAAGAACAGTCCAAGCCAAACCGTATCCAGCTTTATTAAAGGTACTTTTCATAAACAATCATGGTAATTTAGGCAGGACATGGGCTACAATCTGCAACATTTTACAACAACTGTCAAACTCCCCTCCCTTCAAGGACTACCCAAACATAAAGGCTGCTATAAAACCGACAAATCTTCATTTTTGTATACTCGTAGAGGGAAATGTTTAGAGTGAGGGCGGACACTTTCACATTTAGCATGTTGTTTAACAACTCTTCACAAATCTACCCTGACTTTGTGAGGAAAAATTAAAAACTGCAGATTCCTTAATCTGTAGATCCACAATATGAAAGAGGAAATGCAGCTCCTTCTAGAGCTATTATATCCCAAATTAAACACCAGAAGTCCAGATCACCTGACAATGCGTTTAGAGCAGTGAGTCCCAACATGCCATTTCTGCTGTGATAGGCTCTAGCAAAAGGGAGGGCATGAAAGGAAACGCAGAGGGCACTGCAAACTGCAGCTCTGAGGTTGGCAACAGGCATCTCGGGAGCTTCCGTTCACTCTGATGCGGTCCAGAAACGGAAGAGGTGTGCAGCACAAAGGAATCCCTTCCTGCTCCATTTAGGAAGAGTCCTTCTAAAAACTGGGAAGGGGTAAACTTTTAAAATTTATGTTCCAAGAAACAGATTAAGTGACATTTGTCCCACTGTCCCCCCCCCCCAAAAACACAACAACAAAGCGGTCTGTGTGCTAACAACATAGCTTAAAAAAAAGTAAAACAAAATTCTGCATTGTTATAAAACTTGATAAAAAATAGTATTTCAAACTGTACAGTCACCAGAAGTACACAGTTATCAAAAATTCACACATTTTACTTGGCATCACCAGCACCTTCGGCTTTCTGTGCCTAAAAGAAAAAGGGGAACCAGTCAATACACACCACACATGTGCACCAAAAAATAGTAATTTCTTTTCCTGAGTAACAATTCTCTGAATAGCTGAAATTTTGTCACTGTAACTTTTGACCAAACCAAATTTAGGGTTGCAAAAAGTAACCTGCAGCTGCTTTACAACCTGCTAAGTTTACACCACCTTTGTAAGGACAGAACAGTAACTTTTCACATAAGTACTTTAACCAGTAACTTGTTACCAACTGAGCAACACAGCTCCCTGCATCCCCGGCTGCGCCGTGCAAATCATAAACAACAGGTCTAAATAATTGTGTGGTAATTCATCTTCATTATTGCAAGCCTGGGCTTGCCTATGTTTGATACAGAGAATAGTAACTAGCTGATGTACCACACTCTGCTAGAGCTGCTGTTGTACCTGGTCTGTTTTGGCATCTCCATTTTCTGCAGGGTTGTTTCCCTCCTTGCCAGCATCAGCTTTCCCCTTCTTTCCCTTGGGCACTTTCTCACTCTTCTGTCGAACGCAAACGACACACAGCATTACAATTATCAATAGTCATTAAGCCACAGGAATCCAAAACCTAGCATGGTAAAACCAACATGGGATGTTAGCCTGAAAATGAACACAACACGCCAACATTCACGTGTTTAAGACCAACAACTGCCAAGTGCCTTCCTGTATTTTATCAGGTCTTGGATTCTTTCAATGCAAGCTTAAAGCTGCAGCAAAAGCTTTGTAGAAGTGACAACACGTCCTGATGCCACCACTCTGATTCCAAGTTCTACAATACCAAGATCAATTAGAGGACAAGTCTAAAGCTTGCTTCCCACTTACATCTCAGGAGCAGCACAGAGCAACTCACCTTTGGAGCTGACTTTTTAGGTTTAGGTTCTGGCTTCGGAGGGGCAGGTTTCTGTAAGAAAGTGTAAGAAAACCCAATCTATTAATGTTACTTTACGAGGAACACATTAAAATAGGATACGTTAAAATATTCACCCCAACTGGTCTACTTTTAGGAAAGGAAATCTGAACACTTGAAATCGAAGCACTTCCTGGATTTGCCAGTGACCTGCCACTCCCCCAGCACACAATGGGGCAGTTTGTTACACCAGCCTCTTTCTTCCAGCCCAGCAAAGCGTCTCCAAAAGCCCACAGCTCTCACAGCCACAGTACGTAACGCACAAAGCTGCAAAATGCTGCGCCATCCCAGAATACTCACAGCCGATAACCTTGCCGATCTCCGTTGTGGCTGTTAAAAAAGCAAAAAGATTGCATTTAATGTGAAGAAACATAAACCATCGAGTCCGAGTTCAAAGCGAAGGAACCCCAAAAGTCAGCGTAAAGTTTGCAATTCTGGAGGCGCGTGGGAACCTGCTGACATCTCTGCCGCTAACTGGCAGGAGCTGAGCAGTTTTTCGCGGTTAAAAGCAACAGGTAATGCTTTACAGGGCAGCATCCAGCAAAAGGAACCCCTCCCGCCCCTGCTTCCCGGTGAAAATGTCATCAAGCACCACCTCCCACCCGCGAACGTTCCCCGATCCAACTTTTCTCAAGACGCCCAACTTCTTACCTCATCCTTAACTTTGGCCTTATCGCCCTTGGTATCTCCTTCAGCCTGCGGGGTGAAACAAGAGCCGTGCCAACCGCTCCGCGGGGCGGGGAGCGCCGCGCCGGTCCGCCCCGCCGCAGGGGGGCGCTGGCCCCGGGGGTGACTCTCGGCCCCGCGCGGGGCAGGGGGCAGCGCGGGGCCCGGCGGAAGCGCGGCCGCGCCCCCCTCCCCGCCCGCACGAGGGCCCCTTCGGGGAGGCTCCGCGCCCGCCCACGGGCGGCGGTTTTGGCGGCAAAGCGGCGGCGGCGCGCGGAGCCGAGGGAGCGCGGCCGCTTCCCGCCCTTCCCGCGCGTCCGAGGGCAGGGGCGAGCCGCCCCCTCCCCCCCATCCCGCCCTCCCGCCAAAAGCAGCCGGCTGCGACCGGTCCGCGCCGCGCCCCGCCCCTCCCGGCCGTTACCCCAGCGCGCGGCCGGTAACGGTCCCGCCGCCCGCCCCACCCCCCGCGGCCGCCGAGGCCGCGCGGCCGTTACCTCCCCGAAGGAAGGCGGGGGCGGGGGGGAGCGCGGAAGGGAGAAGGGAGGGGTGAGGCGCGTAGTCCTGCCCACCCCCCCACACAACGGCGCGGGGGGAGCGGGCCTCGGCGCGGGCCCCGCGGTGCCACGTACCTTTCTCTTCGGCATAGCTCCGGGCGGCGCGTGCGTGTGCGGCGCGAGCAGAGAGCGAGCGCAGGGGGCGGGCGGGGGCGGGCGGCCGGGCTCGCTCGGCGGCGGCGAGAAGCGGGGGAGGGCCGAGGGGGAGAGCGGGGCGGCGCGGCGGGGCTGGCGGCCGGCTCGCTGCGCTGGCTGCCGACCCCACTAATTTGAATCGGGTGTTTATAAAGTTTTATATAGAGCCGGACGCGGCCCAACCGGTTTCAGCCGGATCCCCGCCGCCCCGCCGGCCCATTGGCCCGCGCGGGTCACGTGGGGTGGGGCCAGGCGGGGAGGGGACGGCGGGGAGCGCCGAGGAGGTGGCGCGCGCGCAACTGGGCCTCACCGCCCCCCCACCGCGCTCTGCCGCCGCCTTCCCGCGCGCCGCCTCGCGCTGCGCGCGCTGCCCCACGGGCGGGAAAGGCGGTGGGGAGGGGGGGGGCGGCGGCGGCGCGGGGCCAGGCGAGGCGCGCGCCGCGGGATGCCCCGCGCCCTCGGGGCTCTGCGGGCGGCCCCGCTCCGCGGCGCGCAGCGGAGCTGTTCTTTCAGCACCAGGCGCGGGGCCGCTGCTCCGCGGGTTCGGGGCCCCGACGCCGCCGGCATCGTACGGAACGCTCCGGGGAAAGGAAGGGGGAACTTCGCGCTCCCCCTCTCCCATCTTCTTCGAGGAAGAGCTGAAAGAGAAGGGAGAGGATGAGGCAGCGCACCTTTAAAAAAAAAAAAAAAAAAAATCAGATCACAATTCAATAAATTTTGCTCTAGAGCGATTCGCACAGGTGGTGTTAGCATAGCACCAGCATGGCTGCACAGCCGCTCTCCATAAAGGACGGACACACACCACCACAGCCCTACAGCTTTCCTTTCACGACTGTCAGTGCAAGGCTGATCTGAAAGACGCACTCCTGAAAACTCAGGTTTTGCTTTTATAGCTCACACTGACCTTACACTGATGCAAAGCCTACACGAAAATTTGCATTCACTTCAATAACTGGCACAGGTGGAATAAAGCACAGAGGCAACAAGCCCTCCTACTGCTTGCAAAAACTCTCATGCCCTGTCTCACCCCCATCACAGCAATAGCTTTTACAAAATGGATTAGAACTTCCCCTGCAAACCTTCTGGATCTCACACCCTGCAGTCACCACAGCAGCCAGTTACACTCCTTTGTGAGGAACAAGCACTGGAGCTTTGGTCACTTGCAACATAGCCAAAAAAGTTCAAGGCAAAAAATACATTCTTGGATAGGAACAAATCTCCCTGCATCTGCTTTGCAAAACAGACTAGAGAGCGCTCCATCTCATGGAGAATGAAGAGTTATTTCTCCAGAGAACTTCCCAAAACGTGCAGAGAAACACAATAGAATACACTAGAAGTTTAAGTTGACACCTCCAATCATCCTCCATCCAAAGGGCTGCTTGCTACTTACATAAGAGGATGCACGTGCACAAAGCCTCACTCAGCCAGGTCCTGGGATAGCAGCTCGTTGCTCACACAACTGGAGGAAGAATGCAGCCTTCAAATCTTTCCCGGCCTACCAGAAACCAGATGAACAGTCTGCCATAGGTTAAACAACATGGTAATCTGGATGCCAACTTCATTGCACTTTAGAATATAAAACTATGTGGTTTTAAACGTTAAGCTTGTTTTTAAAATAATTTGATATGAATATACTTTATTCACTGTTTGACAATGTAGTTATCCTCTTCACAATCACATTCAAAATGCTGAGTTTGCAGTACGTAAAAGTCCTTTAAGTTTGCATTTTCTCATTTTCACCTGGAGGTAAAAAAAAAACCACTTTGAAAAGAGCAATAGCTGATACTGCTGAACCTGTATGTGCATTAGAAACACTTCCTGTTATGTTTTCCACTGTAGGGACGGAAACCAGAAAAAAATTAGAGACAGAATCAATCTTGGAAACTAGCTAGTCCACCTCCCTGCTAAAAGAGATTGGAGAAATAGCACCCCATAGCTGTTCTGGCCACTCCCATTGAAGTCAGCCATACAGCACTTAAACCATTTTGGCTGAGGTCAGAGGTTTTGGCTACTGCATTCCTGTAGTCCCAGCCTCATTCCCTGGAAATGGATGTCTGAAGTCATAGCTCAAGAAAGGTCTCAGATGATTTTAGCATAATGTTCCTATCACCTGGTTTTAGCTAACTTTTCCTTTGTAAGCCATGACATTAATTCTTAAGTAATTGTTTTTCCCTCACCTCTTTGGATCATTCCCCCTTTTTCCTGAACACACTCTGTTTCAACATCACCTTCTACATTTGGGTATTCCCCCCCTCCAAAAAAAAAAAACCAAAACCCAACACATTCACTCTGCTGGGAAAGGATCGCAGGACCTGATCAAGTTCTTTTTTTCCTTTATGGGAAGGCTGACAACATCTCACCTTACCTCTTTGGAAACCAAGAGCAAACGTATCAAAACCTGCATAGTAAGGTGGGGAAAAGACAAGATGCTATCCCAAAGCAGGCAGTGGGGAATATCTCTGCCAGTGCTTGGCACAGGGTTCTCTTACATACCTTTCTCTCTGTTGAGGAAAGAAGTTGAATGGGAACACAGAGGAAATCTCACTAGATTTACTACTACAAAATCACAAGGAATTCAAGTCCAGGCTGACTTTATATGACTGAAACGGTTTGCCTGGGCTAATCCATGAGGAGCCCAACAGAATGGGAGACTTGTCTTAGTTAATTCCTTGTCATCAATACATCAAGCAGTGAAGCTATAGTGAGGTGCATGTATTCTCCCTCTATCATCAGGGACAGGGAGGCAAGATAGAAGGACGGCATTACCTCCCTCAGCAGCATTCACAGAACTAGAAAGGTTCACAGTACTCTGTCCCTGCCCTTAGATAGTGCCAGTGGGGATTCAACATTCTATGACAGCCCTTAATCCCCACAGCAGAACCACACCAAGTGAATTCTTCTGGGCAGCAGCTATTCTAACATGATTAAATATTGCCTTCCCAAGAGCCACCCCGCATGTGTGTCATGCAGACACTGTACATAATCTTTCAAAGAAGTCCGCTCTCTTGTGCTCTAGTGCCTGTAGAAAGCCCTGGATTCTCTCCTCCCGCATGGCAGTGCATTTTTGCAACAGTGTCCGTCGGCGCCGAGAGTCTCCATGGGATGCAAAACCCTCTTGCTGCAGCTTCTTTGTCACATAAGCCTGATCCCTTTCCATCTGCTGTTGCTTCCTTTCCTCCATGTAGGAGTCTCTGGCCTTCTAGAGTGAAAAGCAGTAGAACATTAGCACTTCACCAGGCCTTTTAGCTCATCTGTATTACCGATACAGGGCAGCACAGGCTTTGGAAGAAACAGCCTCTGCTTGGCCATTGAGCTGCAGGGTAAATGAAGAGTGGCTTAGCATGTTCTTCTAGGCAGTGTGCTCAATTGGTTCGTGAAAATACAGGGATATCCTTCAGGACCTTCTACCCCAGATAAATGTCTGCTCAAAGCATTAACTGCTCGTTAAAATACGTAGAGGTCATGACTAATTGTGGAAAAGTCCTCAGATATCCAAATCCAGAGGAACAGTGTACAAGATTACTTCAAACCACAGATGTACACACAAGCCTGCCAGTGTCATCACAGAATCTTTGATATTACTCATGCAGCAGCTGAAAGGTTTTAGGGGATTGAGAACAATGATTTATAGGGCAATTCTTTTAGCTTGTGATCAAGTGTAGATCTACCCAGCTTTAGCAAAAGAGAAGAGTGGGCTCCACATTCCTAAATGTCTGCGTTCTAATAATTTACAAGCTCAACACAGAGCAGTATGGGCAGCAAAAGGTAAAGGCAGTAGCTATCCTTGCCTACCCTACAAGTACTTGAAGTATTTCAGAACATCATTTTTGGATTTCTTATGTACATCCTAGCCTGTAGGCTCTAACACACAAATCGAAAAGCCCTCTACAGTTGCATGAAGGGATAGTAAGGGGGAAAACTGGGCTCGCAGATGAGGAAGGAGTAGTAATTGTCTGGAGCTAAACTGGTTAATTTTGCTCCATAGCAATGAAGACTATTTACTTGTTCTGTCCTGCCAGATGAGAGAAGGAGACACATTTCCAGCTGGTACAGTGAAAATAACCAGTAGAGACAGCAGTGACCTCAGATAATTTAGTTATTCCTGAAAGCAGAGGAATCTGTCCACATGCTAACACATTGTAACAAGACACAGAAGATGTAACATCTCACATTGGCTGCTGGTACTGCAACAAGGTCTGAACTAAACTCACTAAATGAACAATTCTTTTATTTCCACTTTGCACACTCTCACCTGATCTCCAGCTCCCTTACCTGTAATGCGTTATAGTTCATCTGGAACCGAAGGATAGCCTCACACAAATTCCAAAAGGAATATTCTGGCCACAACACTGACTGAAACACCAGGCATGAATGGGATGTCTGCAGAAAGCAAGATCACAAACAGTATAATCATCTAGCAAGGGAAAAAAAAGTCATCAAGATGCAGCTCTGATGCTCAAACTACGCCAGCTTCCCCATAAAGATTTTACCTAGACTGTGTTAACAGAACCTACTTAAAATTAAATAAATACCAGCCAGGAAAGTTTGAAATTGCACAATGCAATGTCTATCTAATAACTATTAATGCTAGAACACAAGTTACTCATTCACGTAAAAATACCTGCAGAATTCTCTCTAATGTGACACTGGTCTTTATAGAGGCATTTTTAATAGCTTAAGCACCACAGATGTACAACTAAAAACTAAAACTAAAATAGCAACACTAACTCAACCTTTGATAGTCTAGGGGAATAACATACAAACCAAAGATCAGGACATGACATTTAAGCCATTTATCAAATGACATCTCATAATATTCCTTGCTGTCCACTCACGGCATTTCAATTGCTTAATGAATCTAGCAGTTGTGGTGTGCTGCAGATATTCTAGAGCTGAAAAAGCCAAGCTTTCAGCTCTGAACATATTTTTGCCTCTCAGTATTTCAGGTAATTGTATTCATAGAATTGCAAGAAACAGAGATGCCCCTGCACTCAGTCCATCCAACAAGTTACCTAAACTCCGGCAGAGAGAATTTAAGAGCCATCATCATCATCACACCCAGATTCATAACACTCTCTGACTCAAAGATGGAATACTTAATGGAGAAAACAAAAACTTTACCTGCCAGAGCAGGAAATCACTCAACCGGACCTCTCCAGAGGTTCGAATCAGGAGGTCTGGGTCAGGGGAGTTGCTGGTATACAGACACTTATCAAGCAACGATTCAGACACATCACTAAAAGACAGATGCACCTTGTTAAGGCCACTTTCCTGATCCAACAGAGATCGCAACAAATCAGAATTACTAAGCATTTTTATTAAGACAGAACTGCAGATTAAAATCAGGTGGATGGGACTGTACTGCTGCCCGTCATCAACTTGTTTCTGACAGACTGGGCCTATTTCAAATACTCTTTCAGCCCCCTGAGCATCTCCCGATGCTCCTGGAAACATAAAACAGTGGTAGAAAGACTGTGAAGACTTCCATCTGGAACAGAGCTAACTACTCCTTCTCCTCCAGGGTAGAGGAACAGTTCATTATTCATGATTCATCTGTTGTTTGACCTCACGGCTGAAACTGCCAACTGAGCAGCCCAACACTGCAGTATGAAATCTGTCTTCACATTTAAAGTAACTTAAGATACAGACCTAACTTCTCTTCTGTCTTAGTTGTGTACTGCAGTTACCATGGTAACTGCAGTAATAAAAAACCAAACACTGCATAGTAACTTGAAGTCATTTGTTCCAGTTGGACTGATTCAACTGAATCTATTTAAAAGCCACATGGTTTCTGAGAGGTTAGTATTAAAGCGTAGGAGGTAAGACAGGCAGCCTTTATCTATGAAGCCTCACACAGAAAAACAAGAGTTACCTCGGTTCAAGCAGTCCTTGCTCTACCCCCCAGGCCATCTCCCTGACAGCATTGCTGATTTCATGTCTTGATGTGTATGCAAAGCAGACATTTAGAAAGCACCTGAAAAGAGGAAAAAGATGTAGAAAACCTGGAAATAAAGAAGGACAATCAGGTAACAAAGAGTCTATCTAAACTGTTCTGTGTGATTCTTGGACAAAGAAAAGCCACATCATGTCTGACAAGTGTACCTGACAAGCAGAAGGCAGCATGAGGTACCTTGAACTCTATGTTACTTACTTATTGTAGTTCCTGGTTGCCATTACAGCCTGGGCAATCAGCTCCTGAATATCCAAGGGTAGAAGTGGCAAGTCCCCGAGCACACGGATACACACACCATGCTTCTTCAGGTTCTCCCTACACCCAACAACAAGAGTGAGGACTGCAGAAAACAGATCAGCCCTTATTGCATGACTGCCACATTTTCTTTGGATAACATCCATCAAATGAAAAAAAAGCAGGCATGTAGCAGGCATAACTTTAGCAAATCTCAGAATCAGACAAAGGCATAACAACTAGATGTTTTTTGAGTGTTAAGAATTTGCTTAGGTTTGATCATCCCACACTCTTCCCTAAAGGAAAGATGATCATTCCCCATACAGGTTTCTCAAGTACAGACATAACCAAAGGACTAGATAATGATCACAAAATTAGATATGCCTATCTGAAGTTATGAAAATCTACGTACAGAAAACTTAAGATAAAACCATAGACTCTAGTCAACTAACTAATAAAAAAGACAAGGGGAAAATAGCAGAATTACTGATTACTGAAACACAGAACAGCACAAATACTTTCGGGTCTATTGCTCATGAACAGCTTCTTTAGGTAGAAACTGGGCAACTGGCTTCTTTGAATCATGGGGCACTGCAGTGCTCAGACAGAACTTGAGACAACAAAGAGCAGTGCACATGTGCTGTCTTCTCCCACTCATGTTCCTGGCTGCATACCCTCACAATTTACTTCAACCATATAAACAACTATTTCACACAGCACTTATCTGTCAGGCACGGGGAACCAATTACAACCAAGGTACTGTGCAACGCTGCACTGTAATGTCCCTCCCTGCTCACTCAAATCTGTACTAGTTCCATCCACAAGCACTATATGAACTAGTTCTCCAGCTCTAAAGTGAGTAAATACTTGATGTGCCTGTATGTGGAAGTCTCAAGTTGAGAGGTCTCTCTTCAATATGTCGTTCTGCTTTTGTTTCACCCTGTAGGAAACAGCCATCAGAGGATTCTTACTGTTCTTCCAGTAGGCGGCTAAATTTCTGCCTTGCCAGATCCATTAGTCCATCCACCTCCTCCTTGGATCGTTTAAAGTTCTCGATACTAAAGGCATAAACAGTGACCTCCCGAATCCCCAGATTTAAACACCACCGCAGTGTCTGCAAGAAAACAAAAACAAAAGTCAGATAAGTAGACTTGTAATCAGATGGGTCCAGAAGACCCATATCTGTAACTTCTAGAACTGTCATTTCCCACTATGCTAACACTGTTTTAAAAAGAAAATAATAATAAACAACAAACACACACAACCATCAAGATCTGACAATGATTCCCATTTAAGAGAATTTGATTCATCTTAAAGAAACAGATGGAAAATGTCACCACCTAGGATGTGACTCTGTAATAGAGATGTGACTAATCCAGCCAGCAGAAGCAATTCCTGCAGACAACGTGATAGATTATGTAACACCACGATTTTCAAAGCCTTCTCAAAGCAATTCAACTTGCTTCACAGAATTAAGCTTCAAGATCTCCAAGGCAGACATTCTAATCAAATGTAAAGCAGAGGAAAAACCAAGCAATCAGGACGACTCAGCAAGGTAACAGAATGAGAGAGCTGAAGTCAGGCCCTTGATGACTAATACCAGCTGCAAGCACAAGGCCTGGCTCCAGTCAGAGAAGAGAAGGAACATAACGCATCAGCAAAGCCGTAAACAAAGACAGTTGCCAAACACATCACAAATTCAATACACAACTCAGAGGCAACAAAAATTCTTCCCACCTGTGCCAGCTTATCAAAGCCCTGTGAGTGTCCTTGCTGCCTCTCCACGTGACACTTCTGGGCATAACGGCGATTGCCATCCATAATGAAGGCAACATGCTTGGGCATTGGACCTGCCTAGAACATAAGGAGAAACAAAAAGAGAACCGACAGGCAAGCTGACATCTTGCATCACAGAGCGTAGTCCCATCACTGTGGAAGCACCCTGCAGTTGTAAGAGTGCAGAGAGTTTCTGCCAGCGTAAAGCCTGGAGCTGGAAAGATTAAGATGCTAAACACCTATCTGGTAACTCCAGCTTAGGCTCCTACTAAAGATGTCAGCACTGACAACAGCACACACTGAAAAGCAACTTTGCCCTCCTAATTTCTGTTTCATGACAGAGAACTGCAGTACTTAGGAAGGAGAACAGCACTGTCACTGCATACCTTCCTTCTGCAGCCACAGGGGAAGGTGCACAGAGCTGTGCGTTACAAATATTTTTATTTCAGAGTTCAGGGGCATTTTCACAGACGATTCATGTCTGTGAAGAAAAGCGAAGTCATGAAACCTTCATCCCTTTAAGGTAAGCAACTCTTTTTCACTGACCTCATTAGGCCTGCACAGATCCTTCTGAGAAAAGGACAGCAGTACCACTTCCAAGACTCTGCTGAGCGAGGACAGAATTTCCTTGGAAGTAATGGGTTTTTATTCCAGTCAGCAGAAACTCAGTTTGATTTTTTAGATCCATAATCCAACTACCTCACACTCTCCCTCCTCCCACGTCCTGCCTTCATCAGCAAAGGCTCAGAACCTGGAAGCCTGGATGTGTAAGCTCATTATTGGCAAGCACTGCCTACAGCATTGCTCATTTGCAAGACTAAGCTTAAGTAATTTTCCATCCCTGAATACTACTTAGGGATGTAAATGCAGTGCCAGCATTAAAACCTACCCTTGCTAGCAACACTATCTCTCTTGAGCAGATCAGTCAGAGATATTTGCCAGGGTTCGAAGTGGCACTCTATTAGCTACTGTTTAACATAGGCAACTAAAGTTCACTCCTTACCTTAATTATGTTGGCACAAAACCTCTCAATGATGGTCAGCTCGCCTTCTCTGATCCACGACATGTCTTACCAAGAATTCTTTTACAGCAGGAAGATGAAAATAAAGGGTTAGAGGTACAGAAGATTCTAATCTGAGTTCAAAGCAACACTATATGGGATGACCTTGGAAAAATAAGCTTTGGCTGGCTAACCTAGAGCATTTTTTATCACGTGGATCAGCAGACAATAAGATAGGTGAACAGATCAGAAATCAGCTCTGGAATTTTCTAGCTGCATGTCAAGATCTGACACTCTACTTACTGATATAAAACAAAAATTCTTACTGCTTCTACCTGCAGAAACAGCTGCTGAGCTCGTACAGATGCACAGCAAACTCCTGCATTATGCTGGACCACCAATGAGCTGGTCATGGAGCAATGATTGTGAAATGACCTTCAGTGCTTTTGTGCTGAAGCTGTTGGAAACCCTGCAAAGCAACCATCTGTATCACCAACCAGCCTGCTTTACAAACATCACTGTGACTTCTTCTCTTTTACAAGCAGAACAAAATCAGCCTTTAGAGTTTAAAAAGACTTCTTTTCACCACATCAAACATAAACATCTGCTTTAAGCTAACAGGACACAAGAGTCTCCTGACATTCCACATTCACCTCCACTGCGCTCAGCCCTGACAGATGCGTGCAAAGCAGTGCTGCGGGGCAGCAGGGCTGATCCGACCGCCCTGTAAGGAAAGCAGAGCCAAACCGCAAAGTCAGCACGCCTTTTCGACACGTGCATTCTCCGCGGTGCCCTCAGAAAGGGACGGTCGGCCACAGACACGGCCGCAAAGCACGAAGGACCCGCCGGAACACGAGCTGCATTCATAACGCTCTCGAATAACTCGCCCTAAAAGCGCCTCTTCTCCCAGCGCCGCTAACAGCGATCCATCTTTCACCCGAGATTTCGCACAGTCACCTCTAGAAACGCTCCCCGCAAAGCAGCCGCTGCCCTCCACGCCGAGGAAAGCGGCCCCAGGAGGCCGAGCCCGGCCGCAGCCGCGCGGCTCCGCCCGCCAAGGACAGCGGGGCGGCCCCGGCCACCAGCGAGCAGCTCGGGCTCCGCGAGGCGCCCCTCAACCCGCCGCCGGCTTCCCGAGGGGAGAGAAAAGGAAAGAGGCGGCAGAAACCCGGCCGACTGTAGAGAGCAGCCTGCCCCCGTCCTTGGGGCACCGCTGTCGCCACTGCTGCCACTGCTGCCCCTGCCCGACCCCGGCCCGCCGCCCGCTACCTGCCCCAGCGGCGCCGCCTCACCCCTCAGGACACTGACGCGCCCTTCCGCTTACGTCACCCACCCGCGCATGCGCAGACACGGCGGGGAGTGTCTGGCGCGCATGCGCACGGGGAGCATTGGGAGGGAGGTGGGGGGGGTTGCGTGGTGATGCGCGCTGAGCGCTGAGCGCTGACAGCCGTGGGGCCGGAGGAGCTCCGGGGGCGTAGAGCTGAGGCTCTGGAAAGGGGCCGGCTGGTAACAGAATCACAGAATGGCCCGGGTTGGAAGGGACCTCAAGGATCATGAATCTCCAACCCCCTGCCACAGGCAGGGCCACCAACCTCTGCATTTAATGCTAGACCAGGCTGCCCAGGGCCCCATCCAACCTGGCCTTGAACACCTCCAGGGATGGACGGGGCATCCACAGCCTCTGGGCAGCTGTTCCAGCACCTCACCGCTCTCATAGTAAAGAACTTCCCCCTGACATCCAACCTCAATCTGCCCTCCCTCAACTTCAAACCATTTCCCCTTGTCCTGCTGTCACTCACCCTTTCAAAGAGTTGATTCCCCTCCTGTTTCTAGGCTCCCTTTAGGTACTGAAATGCTGCAATGTGGTCACCCTGCAGCCTTCTTTTCTCCAGGAAAGCCCAGCTCTCTCAGCCTGTCTTCATAGGGGAGGTGCTCCAGCCCTCTGATCATATGGGAGCTGCAGGCCTGCAGCAGGTGGAAGAATCTGTGGTTTAGAGCTGGGTGGGGATCTGTGGACCACCGTTATGTCTGCTGTTAGCACTGCTTTGGGGGTGAGCTGCTCAACCCATTGTCCACGGGTAAAAGAAAAGAGCCAGCACACAGAACGTCACCAGCAGCCATTGCCCATGGTTTTTGTTTATTTATTTTTTCCAGAAAAGAAAAAAAAAAACAACACAACCCCACATTTTACATAGTTGGTACGAAAAAAAAAATCACAAATGAGGAAAGGAGGGGATAATCTGCAGCAACAGGAACTGCAGCCCTGGCTGCGGGGATTCCAGCAGGAAACGTCATTGGGAAGCGCAGCCGAGCAGAGCCACACACACCCCTACATCCCCCCCACTTCATACAATTGAGTTTGTCACAAACAAGCTTTGGTTGCTAGCAGTAAACATGGAGTTACATTCTTCTGTCTCCTTGTAGACGATCGTGTGACTCAAGGCATTCACACCAGTGGAGACACCATCTGGGAAGGGCCATTTCTCCTCATACATTCAAATGCCTGGTTACAGCAGGACCCTGAGTGCAGCCTCGTCCGCCTGCGGTTTGCTGTCCCGCAATGCATAGTGCCCAGCATGAGCCGAGTGTGGGCATGGGTGATGCAGCAAGTTAATTATTGTCAAGACACAGGAAGAACCACAGCAGCAAACACGAGAAGATTCAAATCAATTCCATCTTCTCCAGCGTGGCTTCCCTCTACAGATAAAATCCCTGTTTTCTTGGATCTCGTTGCCACATTGGCCTTGGGGAAAACCTGAGTGATTCTCTAAGTTGCTTGCTCTTTGCTTTAGGGACAGAGATGGCCACAGAACTCATATCCCCACACAGAGTTCCAAGGCAGAGTACACAGAGAAGATCCTGTCTCCCTGGTTCAAAACCTATTAGATGCTTTGGCTATTTTTTTTTTTCTTTTTTTTTTTTTTTTCCCTCTTACTTTTGTAAACAATAATCAAAGAGAATACTGAGAGAAAGAGCAAAGATTTACAGAGATATTTACAGATACTAGGCAGCTAGCAGAAAATCACCAAACTATTCAATGGGGCGGGGGGGAAAGGTCCTACACGACTCTTCAAACAGATACAAGAACCAGGGACTGGCAACCGAGGTGGGCCAGCAGTCCCCACATTGAGACCGAAGCCCAAGGTTAGACACGCAGCCTGGTGTGTTCTATTGCATTTACCCCGTTCAGACAAAAGCAGTTTTCCTGAAGTGGGTTAGTCTAAATCTCATCACTAGTCGAGAACTTGAGGTCCTTCCCCTACCCTCCCAAGAAGAGACCACCACCTCACCATAGGAACTAATGGAGCAGGGCAGATTCAGCTGGAAGCTGCTCTCCAACCCCACAAGCCTCAGGGCAGGGGTAGATCTGGGGCAGAAACAAACCCCGGAGGGGTCACTGGGTGCAGTGGTTGCTGCCGGTGAGGTTGGAGTAGATGCTCTCCATCTGGTCCAGCCTGCTCCACATCTAAAGCTATATTCTAGTAAAGAACATCAGAAACCGTGCACATGTCCTGAGACACCAGCACAGTCAAACCCCCTCATTGGGAAGGCTCCAGGCAGCCCTGGGGTGTGGAGTGTTGATGGCCCAAAAGAAGGGATGCAGAGCATCCCCCAGCCATCCTGAGCCCATGTCTGGGACAAGCCAGGAAGGGAGCAGAGAGGTAGAGCAGTTGCCCTCCTTGACTATGAGTTGGGTCCACCTTGGCACCAGGCCCTTTGTACCAGCAGGTCCCAGCCTGGGGATGAGTGAGGGCTCAGGACAATGCTCAGTCTCTCAGCACCCTCCTTGGCTGCTGTCAGCTCACACTGCATGCCCTGGGATCTCCATTCTGGCTTTTAGGTCACCATCCCCATGGCCTGCTGGGAGTCTGTGTGGCATCCCAGCCCGCAGGTGATGGAGAATCCAGCACAGGGTGGACAAAAGCGTTCCCATGGGGCAGCAGGGAGGGGGCATGTAAACAGGAGAGAGAAAGGGAGGAGAGTCCTCAAAAACCACTGGGCTGAGAGAAAATCTGGAGTTGAGGAGCCAACATGGGCTCTAGCAGCTGTTCCCTGCCCTGCAGCACTGCCTGGCTTCTCCATCCCTGTGCATGGACCCACAGACCCAAATTCCTCCTTAGTCCAGTAGAGAAGGGAAAGAGATTCTATTAATACAGTTAAAAACCCAAACATACCAAAAAACACAACCAAAAAGCTCAACAACATGTCAGTCCACCTAGCAAACATCCAGTGAGGTAGATCTACATTTCCAATACAAACTTTGTCACATCTTTGTGCTGTTAGAAAAAACCCTCCTCTCTGTCCAGCACTGGGCTACAGAGGTATTTTATCCCTGAGATTGCTCGAATACCTGAGAATAAGTTGCAGGAATTAGGTCCTTTCTCTTTCTCTCTTTTTTTTTTTCTTCTTTTCTTAAAGATTAAAATATACAAAAATACAAAAACTGAATATTTATATAAAAAAGTAAAAAAAAAAAAAAAAAAGCAAAAAAAAAAAAAGCAAAAACAAAAATAAAAACCAAACCAAAGACAACAAACAAACCCAAAGATACGTCATTCACGCACATCCTAGTGCAGCTTTCACTTGGTATTGGCTTTGGCATGGTTAGGGCGTCCCGCCCCAGGAGAAGGGCTGTCACTGGGGCCAATAAATAAAGGCAAGGCTGGGGAGGGATGAGGGCAGCTGCTGCCATCCCGGGTCCCCATTTTCATCTACCTGTGGGAGGTTCAGCCCAGGGTGCTGGTGCAGCATGGGCAGGAGGAGCAGCAGAGTTTGTCCCACGTGCGTTTGATCCACGCAGAAGGTTGAGCTCTAATGAGCCATGTGCTGCTCTGTGGGGGTAAATATCAGCATTTCCAGCCCAATTTCAGAGGTGAGGAGCTGTGGGGGCCATGAGGCCGGCCTGCGGGCATCCCCCCCAGCCCTGCCACTCTGTCCCTCCCTGCTCCAGCCATGGGGTGAGGAGCAAGGAGCCACCAGAGCCTCCCTGAGCTGTGCCTCCCTGCTCCTCCTCCTAGCTTCCTGGAGAATGAAGATCAACCTATTTATTTATTTACTTGTTTTATCTGAGAGAGGTGCTTTGGATGCTCCCCCTCCTATTTTTGGAGCCATCCCAATTAAAGCCGGGCTTTAAGGAGAATAAGGTTCTGCCCTCATCCTTCCCCGTTTGCCTTGCCAAAGCCTCTCCGTCCTGGCGTTAGCCCTCCCCGCCGCCCGCCATCATTCCCGGGTTTCGGGGAGCAGGGCCGAGCTGTGCATGTCCTCCTCCTCGTGGAAGGAGGCAGGCTTTCCCTGAGAGCTGGGGGACTGCTGAGCTTTGGCGGGGCAGTTGGCGACCATGTGGCTGATGCTCTGGCAGAAGTGGCATTTCTTGGGCTGCGGAGGCAGCTTGCACTCTTTGGCATGGTGGTCCAGCCCGCCGCAGTTGTAGCATCTGCGGGGGGAGGAGAGAGATTCGAGGAGGGGAAACAAAAGGAGAGGACTCACTGGGGCCCTGGGTTTGCTCCCCGGTGGTTTTAGATCTGTCCCAGTGGTGCTGCTGGTACCCAGAAGATGGCAGCAAACCCACGTGCTGGAAACAAGCACAAAAGGGTGAAACGGGGGGCTCACAACCCTCTGGCACCACTGTGGTAACAGACCCTGGGTCTGTGGATCCCGCATCACAGGTTACACCATGGTACGAGCAGCCCGTGCGTGGTGCAACAGGAACAGGCAGAATCCAGTTTATCTCGCTGGGAAACCCAAAGTTGTGAACATCCTCTTTCCTGTCCTTCCCCAGTTCCTTTCCAACAGATTGGAAACCCCAAACTCAGGGTGCAGCCGCAGCCTTGCTGGGGTGCACAGTCTCGCTGGGGACACTGAGATCCATTACCCTGGGCAGCAGGGCTGAGGGGTGGCTGAGAATTGGCTCCAGGGCCCAGAGCCTCCCTGTGGGAGCCGCTGCCAGGACGTCCGGTCATTTCCTCCCCACAAGCAAGGGTTTCTCTCAGAGAAAATTACCCCTGCCCAGTTCAGCCCAGTGCGGCTCCCACACACAAGGGGAGCATCAGCCCGGGGTGTCCCCGACCTCTGCCCTCTTGCTTCTGCCTCTCTGCCCTTTCCCCACCAAGCTGCATCTGCCACTCATTAAGTGCTGGAGGAAGCGGCTTTCTCAGAGGAAGGGTCGCTGCCCACACCGTGCCCTGCAGCCCTTGGCCAAAAGTGGGCAGGACAGGGCAACACGAGGGGTCCCTGA